ATCATAAACCTGTATAACTGCAGGCCCGATATTTATGGAGTAGGCCTATATATTCATATATTTATTGGAGGCAGCCCATCCATCTGGCCAAAACTGATATCCAGACAAAACAGATGACTAAAACTACTACAGTAGATCATACCGGTATGCTTAGGAAATTTAATATTAGCATTAATAATAACAGATAGGCCTCGGCGTAATAAAGGATGTTTAAGATTTACGATTCTATATATTGACATATTCATATTGATATATTATATTCATATTGATAATATTTGTGTATATATTGATATTTTTTCAACCGCAGGTTCATATTCTTTACCGTTTATTACTTAGGACAACAGTATATAACATCGGTTAGGTCTATACTATAAAGTAACTGCAAGACGGTTTGGAGTACCACTTTACCGTGTAATAGTAAAGTTGTCTCTGACCAAGTCGTTAGTCTGGAAACCTGTATGCTATATTTTCATTGCATTTATTAAAACAATATTTACAGAAAAGAAATGAATAAACATAAAAAATATAGGTTTTTTTTTTGTGAATGTTTTACGTTTTATTATCATAATTAAAAATGTTTACATTGTACTGGCTTAGATAGGCCATTCTTTTCTAACATTATTTTTTTTACACATACCTCACACTAACGCGGCATAAAATAGTACGCCTTGATACACTTACACATTGTCCCGGTACTCAATCTTTGCTTAAACTGCGGTATTCATGTTAACACTGTATTCGACACGGTATGATAATCAAGGATGAAAGAATTGACACATTGCACCAAGTTTGTTGTCTGGTAAATGATGCAGTTGAAAAGGTAACATCGTTAATTACTACACATTAGACTAGTGTTACGATATTGTAATCGTTCACACGGTTTGTTGATGTTGTGGCTGCTATGACGTCCTGGGGGAGGCGTTCGTCACACTCCACCGACAGCAGCAAAAAAAATGTTCGTCACTTTATGATTGTGACGAATTTCACAAATAGTCGATCGCTTACTCGAAAATAGTACGACTATTTCACTTCTTATTTTACAAAATCTCGTTGAATTCATTTCAAACATTTTTCTTTATATTACTTTGTTAATGCTTAAAAATAATAGACCTACTATGTTATTTAAAGGTAGGAATACTGTAGTTTGCCTACTACTCTACCGAATATATATATATATATATATATATATATATACTGTTTTTAACCCACTTCATTGTTTTAGTTTCCCCCTATGGATACTTCTAAGGCGCATGAAATTCTATATCAACCGGAACTACCATGGTATATTATAGGAATTTGTATAGTTTTTCCCAATACAGTACAGCAGTGACAGGTGTATATATTATTTATAAATTAATACAAAATTAAAACATTAAAAACTTGGTAGACTGAAAAGATAAAATTTGTTCAAACCAAGAATTTTTCGACCCGTCCTCTGGTCTTCTTTAGCATAACCTCATAAAGTGAGATGTGTATAAGAGACAGATATATATATATATATATAAGACAAATATAGACGTATAGACGTATGAAATACTGTACCTAAGTAAAGTTTATAGTAATTAAAACATTACATAGTTCTAATTTTTATCTAGTAATTTGTCTAGTAATTTTATACAGTATACATAATATTTTAGACCTACTGGTATTTCTCTACTCGCAGTGTGCGTACAGAAAATTTAAATGTACTGAGTTAGACCTATATAAGGATACACAAGTAATTTACTATATTATTTATATCGAACCCATACAACAGCATCTCCATTTGTTTGAGTGATGATGTCGATTTTATCGGATCTATAACTCGTTAACTCTTAGTCGGTTAAACAAAGAAAAAAAGTTGCAAGACACTGATAGGATAAAACCTTCGTTCGGATTGTTAATAGGCATTAGCCTTCTCCTGCGATCGGTTTCTTGTGATTTCTCTTCCTATTCTAAGTGAGGCTGTTGTGTTCCGCTGGGACGAACGTACGACAAAACGTGTTCTCACAGAACACAAAAATGCTAACAGATTGAGAGATTTGCAGGCATTAAGACGAGTCTTGAGCGTCAACCGTCCCTCGGTGCATGCTCGGTGCGAGCTTTGCTTAATTACACCAGGCAAGAAGCTTGCTATTGCTTAGTAACAACATTTCTGATAACCATTTTAGACCCCCTCCCCACCAAATACAGAACTCACACCAGCACTCTAAATTGATTGTATGTTACGATGGTAATGTACAATGAATTTATTTCTTGCAAAATACTGTATATTATTTTTATAAAATACAGCAAATCTCTTAGTTTTTTCTCTATTTAAAAAAAAAAAAATATTCAGCGGGGTTTTTAGCTAGTATCTAGTATGTGCTGTTGTTATGATGTTATTATATATATGACATATAAGTATGTATATAGGCCTATACGGTATATGTCTATATATAAGCCTATATAAAAAAAAATCAAATAATTACAGAGACTGCTTGAATACAGGAACTATATATAAATATGCTATATATATAAATATATATAAGTATATATATATATATATATATATATATATATACTTTTCGTTTTAATTGAAGGACAATGCCTGATACGATAATAACATCCTATATTCCTATGAGAGCACTGTTGCAGTGTTATTATTACAGTATATACCTATTTGTTTATTTTCATCCTCAAAATTACCATCAAAAATATTATTATTTATCATCATTAATATTAGACATGTCTATTATTATTATTATTAGGTCTTTTATTATTTATTATAAATATTTTAAATATTATTATTATATTTGAAATGTATACCCGTAGTTCCTCTTTTTGTCTTAAGTTATTTAATTATTGGACATCGATAATAATATCATGATAACGTTTCTTGCTTCCTTAATTATTTTATGAACGGTGCAATTAATCATCACATCTAAGGAAAAACATTTTCGTTTAGACATCAACTTAATATTTGTGGGATTAGTGTTGGAAATTCCAACGATATAATTTTATTTTTCGTTCCAAAAATTGTTTTATGTGAAACATAGGCCTATGAAATGCAAACTATGCAAGGTTATTGCTTCCGAAATGTTACATTAATTTATAAATAAACGACTGGTGCAGACATTTTGTGACAACTGTGACGGGAAAATTATTTGGCAATGCATTAAAGAATTTATTTTGTGAATTTTTGCTGTATAATCTTAGAAGGTTAGAAACTCTAACGTAGAACTATATATTAATTAGGCGCATGAAATTCTATATCAACCGGAACTACCATGGTATATTATAGGAATTTGTATAGTTTTTCCCAATACAGTACAGCAGTGACAGGTGTATATATTATTTATAAATTAATACAAAATTAAAACATTAAAAACTTGGTAGACTGAAAAGATAAAATTTGTTCAAACCAAGAATTTTTCGACCCGTCCTCTGGTCTTCTTTAGCATAACCTCATAAAGTGCAATTTGAACGGTCGAAAATTTAAAAAAAATGATGATAGTACTAAAACAGTTCTGGATGCGGAGTAAGTAAACAATAAACTAATTAGGAGTGTGTTTTAAGAGTTTAGGAAACAGCAAGGGGGAATAATAATGTTTAATTAAATTTATTAAGAAATTTTGTTTTGTGTTTGTTAATAATAACGTTATCAATAATAATAGGAATATTTGGGGTTTTATAGTAGGCTAATTTAAGCCCCTACTGAAATCGGTTTCAATTGATATTACTGTAATTATCATATAGTTATCATCATTATTATTTTATTTTTTTTAAAATGTGTAATAGTGTTACTGTAGTATGATTGTTATTATTATCATACTGTACTATTATTATTATTATTATTATTATTTTTATTATTATTATTATTATTATTATTATTATTATTATTATTATCATTATCATTATTATTATTATTATTATTATTATTATTATTATTATTATTATCATCATTATTATTATTATTATTATTATTATTATTATTATTATTATTGTTGTTGTTTTTATTAATATAAATAGTTCTTTTATTTGCGGCGTTCAATTCAAAACAGTTCAGTTGTTTTATGCTTTGATACAGTTTTCTACAATTACTGTATAATTTCCAAGAAGTTACTTTTGTTTGTTGCCGGCGTTAGCATTGTAATCTTCAATTTGTATCTAGCTTAACCAGTCAAGATTGTTGGAAGAAGATGGTTGTTGATGATACTAATGTTGATACATTCAGGCAAAAATGAAGAGTCAAGAATTTGCTGTAAACTGCCTTAGGCTGTCTCATCTAAAACAGAGGGGAAGAGCTGAGGCACAATAGTTAAGCGACAGACCTGCTGTCTATAGCCTCGCTTGTCAATAGAATCCGCCCAGCTTCAGTTCCTCTCTTTTAACAAAAATCAAAACTTGCTACAACAATACAACACGTGGCGAAAAGGTCACGACCCTTCCTTTACAGTCGCACAATACTGTAACGTAAAGTCGAGGTTTTGTGTTTTGCAACATTGTGCTTCTCTTTTAGATAATAAAGTAATGATTTTTGCTCCTGTAACTAGAATTTAATTTGGATAGTAATAAAGTTTATACATGCATTTATTCAGTTTGGTATCATAACGTCGTACGCTGGATTAATTCACTAATAAAGTAAATGCATTTGAATTTTAACTTTTGCCATCGTTATGCATTTATTCATTTTAAAATGGGTTTTTTTGTATAATAATTGAATCTTGTATCTGTGGGTTTTTTTTCTTTATTTATCGAAATTAGTTTTACTTAGAGCATTATTATAGTTGTTTATGTGTGATGGAGATTTAGTACTATTTAACATTGTCTTCTAGATTTAGGTGTCTTGACTATGTAGATTTTAAGAAGCAGTGGTTTAAAGAACAACAACTTTATTTTAGTTTTGCTGAGATTAATGTAGTTTTACAAGCAACACTGTTGATTAGTGCTGTTTGCCGCTTAAAAACCGTTCATCCGGTAGAGCGCTGTGATTGGTCGAGGAATCTCACGCTCTACCAAAGCGTAAGATATGGTCGATCGTCGCACAGATATGCTTATTGTAGTCAAGACCGTGCTCTCGAAAAGGTATTTGGTCCGTATTCCGTATGATTCTTGGACAGCCAATAATTACAACTGTATAAGGGCAAAATAAGATGGGTTCTAGCTCGTATTTTGTGAACACTCTTTTTTCGAAGTATCAGCCGGGAGACGCCTTTTATCCAAGCGGTTATGAGCTACCTGCATGTGCGTTCAACAAAAGGCAAAAAGTGTACGGTGCCCCTGCCACGGGGGTAACCTCAGCTACGGGGACCGTGACAACACCTCAACAACAAGCAGGTCTGTACGGCGCACCCACCACCTTTCCAAGCAACTATGACACTACGGGACAGGGCACGTATGCCCCACTGAATCAGAACATTCCTACCTCGGCTCCATGGGACAGTCGATTGCAGGGCTATGGAGCAGCTTGGGGTGGTCCCACCGATTTGGATAGTTTCAAGGATCACAACTCCTTATGCTCCGTGGCAACGGACGCTGCATGCCCGTCTGTCGTGGCAGCCCCAGCCAATTCCGCCTACCCTTGGATGAACGTTACGGGTAAGCACATTTAACAATACATACGTTGTAAATGTAAGATTCTTCTTCGGAACAAGTATAATATTAAATTATCTACACAGTATTATCGTGAACAATCTCATAACAACATGTTTAAACTGTTGTACGAGTGATGAGGGAGTTAACACGTCGGCTCTATAATGAATTACTCAATTAACCTTTACTGTTGCTACAGATACAAAATAGGCCATAACCTCTAGCCGTAAAATAAATCTTACAGTATGTATTAGTTGTATGTAGTTTTAACTGAGCCATTCCGCTGTCTGAAGAGGCAGTTTGTTATGGGACTTGCGCTTTATGTGTTTTCTCGTTTCGCAGTGATGGGCTGAGTATTGTCGTTAATGTCCATTACCAAGATAATAATCGTAAATGCTATCACAGCGAGGTCTGACCCCTTATATCACAATACTGTTAACAACCTCTTTCTCTACATCAATTATCTAATTATGATTGGATAATTTATAAGCAATCACACTCAATTTAATTCGATTTTAACTCCCTATTAAGTATTTCTACTGGGTGAAATAAATATACACTCTTGCGTCGTTACGAATGTAATTAAATAATTACACACGAACGGTACTTTAGGCAGAATCTCAAATCGAACTCTTTATATAGAGTACCGGTACACTTCTCAACATTTATAGATCTCCTTTTACGTCGCTTATCACAACTAAAACAAAGTATCTTATTTTAATGTTTATATTTATTTATATTTAATCGATGCATCATAGGCCTATATGTTATCGATGAATTATTTTGTGATGATAATGCCATAATTTTTTTTAATCATTTCTCCCAAATCCCCTATAAAATGCAGATCATTTTAAAAGACACAGTAGCCTGATAAATGGTTATGTGTTTGAATTTGCGTATAAATAACTTACTATTATACAAATCTTTATATCAATTTTTTTGTACATGAGAATTTATTTCATTTTAAAGTCATACTTTTTTTTAATGAAGAAGATACATTTGTGTCTGTGGTAGGCCGTTTATTAGGCCTACGTTTGGTAAGCCTATACTATAATAATAATTATCATCGAATTATACACAATGTATTATTCACGTCTCTTTAAATGTAATTTATTGGGGGGCATATAGGCCTATTAGAACATCATAAAGTATACTGTATTTATAACATAGACCTATCTAAATAAACATTTATATGCTATGTTTGTATACCGTATGCTATAGAATAGGCCTAACTGTAATGTGATAGTTAGAAAGTAATAAAAATTGCATTATTAGGCCTGTTATTATTATTATTATTGTTGTTGTTGATTATTATTATTATAATTATCAGGCTCTATATTAAAATGTCTTAAGTATCATCATAGAGAAAATAGAACAATTTCTCTATGGTATTATCACTAATATTACTTAAGGATACTATACTAATACTACCAGCCATAGATGTTTTATAATTCCACCATACTCTCTTCTTATTTTTTACAGTTGTAATGGCTAAAATTCAGAATTAAGGATACATTGCCAAATTTATGTTTAGGCCTATTCCACAATGCTGCAACTATAATAATGATGTATACACCATACGAATGTGGCATATTTTATCAAATGATAATCCAACACATTTCGATACAATACCGTAGCTTAACTTATCTATTAGTTCATTTTTATGAAAGTAAGTAGCCTTTACACACCAGGGACATCTTTCAGGCGGTATAAAGCTTAAAAGAGATAGATTTTACTGTAGTAAAAGAGTAGTAGTAAGTAGTACTAGTAGTAGGTCCTACAATAGTTGGACATGTACTCATTTATGCCTACATATTTTCACCGATCAAAGATGGGCTAATTTTAAATTTAGTTGTGTAATCAATAGAGTAATATTACTCTAATAGTAGTAGTACGTAAAGCCTATTTAATGTATTTCATTCAAGATATATTTTACAAATAAAAACAAATCAAAAATTAATTGAGGGTGTATAAAGTATTCTAAATTATATTGATTATGTCATGTAGTTCGTTAATAGCATTATTAGCTGCAATATATCCTGAAACGAATGAGAATGCAACGCTTACAAGTCTTTGATTGAAGTTTGCTGCTTGCCCAGCAGAACTAAATAATAGTTCCTTAATTCGCTTGTTCGTCCATTGTTTGGTATAATTGATGATCCAAATAATATTTCCCCTGGCGTGTAAAATATGATCTTTTCTTGTCAATCAAATCCAGTTTTTGTATCTGTTTTTAGAGAAAATACTTGACGGACATACTATCTTAACCGCATGTTTTGTTTTAGGAAAACCTGAACTAATAACATGTTGGGTAAAAGTTGATTCAAGTGTTTTTGTTAGCTTAAAACATGTTGAATACAGGATGCTATACATTGCATCGCGATGTTTCTTGTGTAGATATTACTAAGTTAGCATTACGGTGAAAGACCTACGAACTAACCACGGATATGGGTCTCACGTTGCGGTTGCATGTAGTTTTTAACCTGTACTCTATAGCCTACCGACCCTATTCGTGGGCAGGGCCAGTACACTGAATGACGTACTGTATACTTTTCTTATTTCGTATCCTAAAGTCAAATTTTATTTATTATATCATTGACCACACATGAAGGGTGTAAGTCCAATATTAGGAAGCAGAGACCCATAATATGATTTAATACTAGTCCAGTGGGATTATAAAAATGATTTCAAACAAGGAAATAATTCTCATCTCCTCAGCAAAATATTTATTACAAATTAATTTTATTCGGAAACCCTTCTAATTTGCTAGGAGTAATTAAAAACTGTTCTAGAATTTGGAAAGAACAAAATTATATTTCGAATAGGTCCAAGTAAATTAAGAATTCAATTAATTCTTCTCTCTTTTTGAAAGATAGAAAACCCAAAATCCGCATTCCCTGTCACGATTGGTAATTGTTTTCATTAAAAACAAACATGGGTTTCGAATAGGATGTACCTTATAGGTACATGGATGTACATACTGTGTATACAACACGCGAAAAACATGGTTGTAATACAATCTCCATGTTGTAAAGTTATCAGAATAAACAAACCATTCAAGTTTAATTGATCATGTGCGAAAATATGGTTTTTTTAAATGTAAATCGTAGATTTTAAAATAACAGTTAGCATGAGCTGGGCATTATGGTCCTCATTAACGAACCGTTAGTATTGGCCGTTTGTTTTTTTAAAGATGTATTGTCACCTGAAAAAGTCATAAAATTGTTTTTAAAATTTAACTTGCTTAAGTAATATATTCTAAACTTATCAACTAAAACATGTTTAAACTGTGTTTTAAACCATGTAGATAATGGTACAAATCAAAACTTTCATCAGGTCTAACCGATTTATCTGATTCTGACCAAATCGAAGGAGAGCTGGCCAATTCGGTGAGGGCCATTGCGCTCTATCTGAAAAAAAATCCGTTTGTGTCAAAATTATATACGATAACAAATTAAAATATTATTATTATTATTATTGTATTAAATATATATAAATATTTAGTATTGTCTTATATTTCACTTGACTGAAATTAAGAATATGCCTATACATAGACGGAATCAATGCCAAAGTCATTCATTGTACGGTTTAAAGCTTTTTGAATATAAACTGGGAGGGGGAAGGGGGAATAACTACCCTTTTTACCATCTTTTCCCCCAGTTTTTTAAAATATTTAAATTTTAAAAATTTATCATTAACCGTTCCCGAGTTTACCGTCAAAGACCGTTTTTGTGGAAAATCAGTTGTACAACTTGGACATTTTTTCCCTCCGGATCCTGGTTTTAATACAATGTATTTGGTATCTATATAAGCGCAACAATGGCTCATATCATTTATGTATTTGTCTTGTATCTATATTCTATATATGGCGATAACTACTGCTACTACTAAGCAGCCCATATAGAGAAACACTTCATGTCGGTTTAAGTGTGGATATGAGAGGAATTTGAATAACTGCCTTAGCCAGATAAGCCGTTTATTTGGTCTTTTATTGGTTTCCTTATAACCTTCTGTTAAAACTTTGTCATCGAAGTCATGGAGGTATAAAAGGATTATTATATATCATTATAAGCATCTATTATATATACTTCTATAATTAGTTTATAGGCCTACCGCCATGCTGATAGTAATTAGTATTGTTCCTATTGTATACGCTTTTTCAGGCCTCACACATACCCCATAAAACATTACGTAACTGTTCAAACATGCATTTAGCCCTAGTATCCGCTAGCAATGTATGCATGTGACAGCTCACCTTCGAATTCGTAAATGATAATGCTGCTGTGGTTGATTAATGATGAGGTATATCTTCCTCACTAGCCCGGTATCACATTTGCCATGTTTTCCATCGTTTCATCCCTCCTCCAAGGCTTCGCGTGATATCTGTGATTTTTTTTTCATTTGTTATTTTCGTGACATAAGTAGCATTATTTGTGAATTCATGACCCCAAGTACTGAAAGTTCAACCCCTGGGTATGTCCATTATTGTTGTGTCCTTGAGCGGGGCACTTCATTCTTAGTGGTTTATGGCCGCCGTAAGTGACAAATTACAATCAGCAAGACAGGAACATTCCGGCAGATAAACATAAATGAACATCAGTTTAAAAAAAGTAATTTAAATGCATTTGGAGAATAAAAATAAAAAAATACGCTAATTTCACCCTGTATTTAGATTAAGCTGTGATCACCTCATTCAAACTCTTCAAACTTCTTACTTATTTCACCATTTATTTTGATATAAGAGACGAGTAGCATCAATTTTAGGAACTGCTGTAATAGCCATAAACGTTGAAAAATGAGCACAATTTAGACCACACATATAAAGTAATAAATACATGAATTTAAACTCACATTTCAGATGTCATTGCATATTTCAAAATATATATATATTTTTTTATTGTATTTGTTTATAAAATCACAATTCTTGATTAACAATACATTCATACTGTATTGTTCGTAATGCGTTTAGCATTCCTCAGAACTTAGTCTGATGCAAGCATGTTGTTTTTGTCTACGGAGACAGACATCTATGGTTTTAAATATACACCGCATGTTCTGCAGTAGTTATTAACAACTTGTTAATTGTATTTTCTTTCAGCGGCTCCAACCGGTGTCGAGATGGGTAGGAAACGATGCCGACAAACATACACACGATACCAAACGCTTGAGTTAGAAAAAGAGTTCCACTTCAACCGATATTTGACAAGGAGGCGACGAATAGAACTCTCGCATCTCCTAGGGCTGACAGAACGACAGATCAAAATCTGGTTTCAGAACAGACGAATGAAATACAAAAAAGAAAACAAGAAAGACGGTGTGACGGACAAGGAGTCGGAGAATGATGAAACGATCACAGCCCCGACGGAAACCACCGAATTGGTAGAAGAAAAACCAACAGATACATGCGAAAATAAATGAACAATACAAAACAGATAGAACTGAAAAGAAATAATAAAAACCCGATGTACATCTGACTTAGGCCTAGGCCTAGACGGCGTAATGTATTGAAGTTAGCCGAGTCTTATGTTCACTATAGACTCTATTGTTGTTATGTCTTGTTTAACGGTCCGGCGTGAGATCCGACCAGCAAGTCACGTGTGTGAGGTTGGACAAATTTATACCAACACAAAGACTAAACAACAGATAGAAATTATGTATTTACAATTTCATTACTGTTAATGGGCGCTCTGCAATTACTCTGTTATTTTGTTTTATATTGTTTTACTAGTATGTAACTTCGTATACGTGTGTGCCAAGGGGATAATATTTTCTACTAAAAGCGATTTTTGTTCTCAAATACCACAACATTTACCATGTTTCATAAATAAATACGATAAAAACCATGACATATCGGAATTTTATTTCATAAACTAGTAGTACTGTATTGTGCGTTGCCGAGTTTAGCAAAGACGGTAAAA